CCACCATCAATCCCTCCTCCCTAATGAATTCGGCTAATTCTCTTGTACACTTTTATTTCACCCCTTTCTTTCTTTTTTTTCTCTTTAATGATTCTTCCCCCATCGTACTCGATTAAAACTTTTAGTCGTACGCACGATTTCATCCTATTACGACGTTAATCTGGATAATTGATAATCGTTGTTTTTTTTTATTGATCTTTTTTTTTTCTTCCTTTATGGATTTATTGGACATTTTATTACCATTATATGTGGGATGCTGTTTGACGATTTTTTTTTTTCTCGTCTTTCTGGATGGCCGATTTTGTAAGTCCTTACGCCCAAATCCTGTTTACGAAGTATTATACGTTACGTATATGATATTTAACTACTGCATCACACACGTCGGTATAGTTCATGCACGTTATCGCTCGTATCACAAGCATTTGGCTTTTGTTATTACGACTGACGATTATCAATGCATTTACATTATATCATAAGTTATTGGGGATTGACAATAGTGCTTAGTTTCTTAAATTTTACTTTTCTCCCCCAATTACATCAATGGCGTACTTTTAGGTTCGCTTAAATTTTGTACGGTGCATGTCATTTTATTGGCTCGCACGCACGACACCATGCGATTCATATTTATGAGGTCGTCACGAGACTCCGTAGGTCGATGCAACGTATCGATTAAGAGTGCACGTCACTATATCTATATATATTGGTTATTATTATTATTATTATTTTTCTTCAATTTTGTTGCGGTTGTGGTTGCGCCTTTTTTTTACTCCTCAACTACAACTTATCCCTCGTTGAAACCAGCAAGGACAATCAAACTCGTATCACATGTCATTGGTGCTGGTTTTAAGTATTTATCAGTTTTGTCATACGTGACGGATATTGTCGTTAGGTAAAAATCATTTTCTTAGTAAATAAAGATAAAAGTAATATTTGTCGATTCTCACGGCAATACGATTGGCGATTCGCGACTATCAACGAAATTTGACACGCCAGGTGGATCCGTCGTGGGATCGATCGATCGTTCGATCGGTTTACGTAGAGTGTAATTTTGCGATCGATTATGAAAAATCGATCCTGGTCCAATTAATCGATATTCGTGGAATTTCGAACGATCTTACGCGGGCCTCCACTTGGCGATCGTGTAGTATTGTATTTATTATTGTTATTATTTTATTATTATTATTATTATTAGTATTATCGTTCCTTTCTGTAATTATTCCGATTACGTTAACTTATGCTCACCGTGTAAATAAACATCTTTATTTTACAGTTCACGTTCGTTTAATTCGAGACGTCGCACTGTGCGAATTCGATTGCTGGTTTTTTCTTCCTTTTTTTTTTTTCTTCCTTTTCGCTTTACCTTCAGCTCGTCAGTAGTGCGCGCAGCGTAGATTGCAATTGATTTCAGCCTCTGTTAGAGAGTAGACACGTGTCTGGTTGGTAGGCGCGAAAACGATGATTGAAATTTCGTAATACGACAATTAGTATTGGACAGAGGGTACAACAGAGACAGAGAGTGAAAATGTTAGGGCGTGAAAAAGATAGAAGAAGAAGAAAAAAAGTTAATGAAAAAAAACAGTCAATAGAAGAGGTATGACGAAAACGTGAGAGAACGGCAGGGATAGGTAATGGAAAGAAAGGAAAAGAAAAATAATTATATAATAATTAATCCATAACCTATACACTTGCTCTATTTTATACTCATTTTGTATAATCAATCTTATTACGAATATGTTATTGCCGATAACAGAAGAAGATAATGATCATGATCTGCCTCGCCGTACTCGCCGTCATCTTGGCAAGCTCCGTCACAAGTTACTTCATGTAGGAAACGCCTCGCACAGGTATGGTACCGTGATCGGTTTTATTTTTTAATAATTGACAAAAATATGTATATAAAAGTCATAGCAGTACGTTGAGACACGGGTAATATTCTGTTCGTTAGTGAAATTGAATAATATTTTACAGCAAGACGATTCCGAGACCTCGTGAGCTGCCAGGAATTTCCGGCCGGATCTGAACGTAATCGAGAGCTTCGATTGTCGGCTGCCGTAACAATCGTCATGAACATCACGGAGCACAAGATACAAAGAAGAAAGAAGAAGCAAAGCCATCGGTCGTGGTCCACCTTGGGAACGCTCTCTTGGATACACTTAATTAATTTATAAAATATCAACACAACAAGAATGGCAGGAAGGCGAAGACGCGTTTCGGGGTACAGATGTCAGAGATAAGGGTCAAGGGGGAAGGAATGATAAGGGGACGAAGAATGGACGATGTAAACGGCGCCGATTAACGAAGCGAATCGCACTATCATTTGCCATTGCTATTCGTTGCGGAGGGAAAGGCCGAACGTGCGAGGTAGATAGAAAATGAGGGGTAATGAATATACGTTAAGGGAAGGCTGGAAGAAATGAAATCGAGGCTAGACGCATCCTTGCGGCGTCCTTTACCGTCAGAGCGTTAGTCATTAACCTAGCGATTAGTCGAGTTTCGTTGAGGATATTTTGTATTGAGCGTAGCTTGCGAGCTTCGACAGATTTAGCGTTCGCGTGCGAAAGATCATAGCTTAGTCTAGGAGGAGTGATAGCGACGGAAGGATAAATAAAAGGGGGAGTAAAAATAGGTGAACATATGGGTGTGAGGGGGTGGACTCGTCGTGACGGTGACTATGACGACGTAACTTGGACTGGGTTATAATAAAAGACGTATTTGTTTGACATGTCCGTCAGATGGCACAGGATTGTTTGCGAGGGACGGTGACGTTTGATGATCAATAATGAGACACGATAGAGGGACGATTGTGATCGGGAGATGATTATAATAAGAACAGGGAGAGAGTTACGTTAGATGATTTAATTATAAATTAATGGAACGGCGTGAGAAGCATGGCCTCGGCCGATATGGCGCTGGCGACGACGCAGGTCGCGCGAATGGGTTGACGCGTGGGAGAGAGAGAGAGAGAATAAACCATTTTGCTGCAGCAATAATACTCTTATAATAATAGGTGTTACGAATAATCGTGTTGTAAAGCCGATTAAAGGGGGATAAAACGATTTTAACGTTACGTGGGTGAGTGCTTTTTGCGTCTCGTGCATTTAATACGCGCCCATACTCCGTTGCGTTGTCCCACGTACCCGTTTTACAGCAGTGCGAGCCGTTTGACGAGACGCGCATGCGCGCACGTCCCGTTCATTCCGTAGAGGGCGATGCGCGCGCAGCCGCTTTAAGTCAAAGCGGCGAACGAGAGTCGTTCATTGGTAATAAGGACCGATGGCTGGATTAATAGGGAACGATAATGATAGTACGATAAGGCACGGTTCAATAGGAGAATTTACACGGGACGGTATGTAACGTGAAAGGGGACGACGTTACGATTCTGTTGATTATTATAATTATATTAACGTTGAAGAAGGCAAATGCGATTCAGATGATTATGAGTTACTGTTTAGGAAAAAAGAAATATGGCGAGACGAAGGTTATGTCAGAGGGAGTGAAAACGAGAGGCACGGGATATGGAGATATAATAATGCTATGATATTAATGATTAATTATAATTAATAAAGGATAAAGGCGAGAGTACTCGTACGTCGCCGAAACATTACGTGGACGACATACGATATTTCTGCGTTGATCATTGCATTGTACAGAAAGTGTAACTGTTAGCCTAGGTAGCTACGTTATTATCTAATATTAATACCCCCGAACCTTTAATCCGACGTACGATTAATTGCTAATCGGTTTATGAGTATATTCCTGTCACGGAGTTAGGGCAGTCTCTCGGTAGGACACTCGCGAACTATTGTATTTGACTACTTAATGGGATTACGTGTAGAGAGTGCCGAGTTAAACTGGCAGATGCGAGGAGAGGACGAGGCGAGAGATGGAGAAAGAAAAAGATGAGACAGAGAGAAAACTAAAAAATATATATATATATATATATATCACATTGATATATATGTATATATTAATTTATACGTACGTGAGTGCGCGCCAAACAATGTTATTAACAATATTGCGGATGAGCCTTGATTGCGATTCCGTCGAGAAAGTAAGAAAGTCACACGTGCGCATGCGCACAAGTGCGTTCACTGCAAAGTCATCGCACATTGATATATATGTATATATTA